GTGTGCAGGAGGCAGCCGATCAATGATTCTCTCTCATCACTGATGTTTCTATGTCTCTCCCTCTCCCATCCTCTCTGAAATCAATACAAATATATTTAGAAAAAAGAAAAAAATAGAAGTCATCTGGATGCAAGGAGGGTCCGAGTCCCTACCCCCTTAATCCCCCTAAAATGAGTGTCCAGGTAGAGATAGCTGCCTCTTAAGCAATCAAGTGCGAGAAGGGCAAATAGGAATGAAACAAGATGAAGACAAATCCCAAAGTGAAAGTGGTCATTTTAAGTATCTATAATAATAAAAGCGTAATATGCTAATTAGACTAGATGTCCTTCTGGACGACCTTCTGGACAAAGCTGGGGCTGTGAGGGAAGCCCGGGTCCCGGGTGCCAGAGGGAAGCTGGTGCCGGCAGCCAGGGGAAGGAAGACCTACTCTTGCAGGAATTTCGTGGGTTGGGCCTCTAGTAACAATAATAACATTTATGCTGTACAGCACGGTGACAGATACTGTTCACATATTACTCTGAGCCCCATAAGAAGGCATCCTTAGCCCCGCTTTATGGTGAGAATCTGAGGCTCAGAAGGGTGATCTGGTTAAGGCTTGTAAGTAAGGAGAGCCAGGATTCAAAGGCAAATCTGCCGGATGCCAAGTCCCAGGCAGGTCGAGGGCCCATTAGACACTGTTGCCTCTCCAAGGTCAGACAAAGAAATGGCCCGCAAGGACGCAACTGAAGTTCTGACTTACTACCACCTGGGATCTGTGTGCTTCAATTTATAAAGGTAATATGACCACATTATGGGAGTTCTGAAGAGTAGGAGGAAAAATATTCTTTGTCTCAATACAACCGCCACTTTTATTATTCTGATGTCCTCTAGATTTTTTTCATATTCCACCTTTTCTCCTTTCCCCCCAACTTCTCTGATTTCATTGAGAAAAGTAATAAGGCCAAAAACATTTCTGTATTTTACCTGTTCACAAGTTCATATAGCTCTGGCATTGTTTTCCCAAAGACAAAATACTGTGTTTTGAAGCCATTTTTCTTATCAAGTAGGTAGAGTGGATGGAACCATTCGAAGAGTGAGTGATACAGTCCGTAGCGTATGTTCCTTAAACAGAAAATCAGGTCAGCAACTGTCATTAAGCAAAGAAAAAATAGTTTATTTAAAAACAATCAGTGGCAGCATTTTTATATCTCAGTGAAACGCACCCCTGAGGGCATTGGGGGGGGAGGGGGGTGTCCAAAACCATTAACTTAAAAATGATCTCTTCATTCACAACCAATTACAGTGATTGGGTTTACTATGTTTTTGATAGTACACATAACTACTTTTTATACATACATATCTTGACATCAAATGTCATTTAAACCATCTTTTAACTTTTTTTAAAAAAATATTTTTATTGATTTTAGAGAGAGAGAGGGAGAGACAGAAACATCAATGATGAGAGAGAATCATTGATCAGCTGCCTCCCGCACTCCCTCCAACTGGGGATCAAGCCTGCAACCTGGGCATGTGCCCTTGACTAGAATCAAACCCAGGACCCTTCACTGCAGGCCAACACTCTATCCACTGAGCCAAATCAGCTAGGGCATCTTTTAACTTTTAAGTCAATTATCTCAATAACATATAGTCCATTTAAAAATGTTTTATCTGTCAAGCATAAGACCACGTATTGAAGAAATATTGGAAAGCCTTCCAACCCAGGTCCTTTTCCAGTGTCTGATGGACCGCAGGGACCAGGTCTCGCATCTTTGTGTCCCCTTCATTGTCAACACAGATCTTTGCCGGCATTCAGGGAAGGTTTGGGTAAATGACAGATCAAGAGGGAACTGAAAAGGGCAGTTAAAGCAGCAAAAAGTGAAGGAGCCACTGGGTTGATTCTAACTAATGGGGGGATGGGGGTGGGGAGAAACTGACCAAAGAACTTATATGAATATATGCATAATCCATGGACACAGACAATAGTGTGGTGAAGGCCTGGGGGGCGGAGGGTGGAGGTTGGTCAATGGTTTCTTGTTTTATTTTTCTAAGATTGACTAATAGTTTTTATTGATTTCAGAGAGAGGAAGGGAGAGGGAGAGATAGAAACATCAATGATGAGAGAGAATTATTGATTGGCTGCTTCCTGCATGCCTCTTATTGGGGATTGAGCCCCCAACCCGGGCATGTGCCCTGACTTAGAATGGAACTGTGACCGCCTGGCTCATAGATTGATGCTCAACCACTGAGCAACACGGGCTGGGCTTGACTAATAGTTTTTAACATACCCAAAGGGAAATACAGTTAGAGTGACCTATTTTCAAACACAAGAAAGCTTGTTTTGAGTTAAGACTGGTGAGTGTTACAGAAACATTATGATGCAAGTAAGAAGTAAGGTATATTGTAATGGCACAGATAAGACAGAAAGAACTGACATTGTTTCATATGACTCAGGAACTAAACAGATTCAAAGAAGATAAAAATCAAGTACCCTAAAGTCTAGATCTAATCAACACTCAGAGTTTTACAGCACAACTACTATCTAAGCACATCATAGGGAAACTGAATCTTGTACAGGTGACAAGAGTCAGCACACTCTTTCTTAAGGGGCCAGGTAGTATTTTAGGCTGTGCAGGCCTTAGGGTCTCTGTCCTAACTCACAACACGTAAATGAATGAGCATAGCTATGTTCCAATCAAACTTCATTGACACAAACAGGCAGCTGGCCCATCCCTTAAATAGCATATCAAGTTTGCCAAATCACAACAGAGCTGAGGGTGGGCATGGCACAAATGCCACTTTCCTCCTTACAGGCAAACAAACCCAGAACTGTGGGGTCCAAAACCAGAACACCTGAGTTCAAATCCCACCTCTGCCACTTCCTAGCTCATTGATCTTGGGAAGCTACTTTTTTTTTTTTGAATATATATCTTTATTGTGGAAAGTATTACACCTCCACCCCACCAGGCCTTCACCACACTATTGTCTGTGTCCATGGATTATGCATATATGCATGTAAGTTTTTTGGTCAATCTCTCCCGACCCCCATCTCCCATTAGTTAGAATCAACCCAGTGGCTCCTTCACTTTTTGCTGCTTTAACTGCCCTTTTCAGTTCCCTCTTGATCTGTCATTTACCCAAACCTTCCCTGAATGCCGGCAAAGATCTGTGTTGACAATGAAGGGGACACAAAGATGCGAGACCTGGTCCCTGCGGTCCATCAGACACTGGAAAAGGATCTGGGTTGGAAGGCTTTCTAGAAAGAATCCTTCTCAGAGGACAAATGGGCCACTGTGGTCTTTGCTAGGTATCCTTCACCCAACCAGACAGAGCCATGAATGTCTCTGATGGTGTCACCTTTGGTCACATAAAAACAGCCAAGCATCAAACACTGCCAATTCGGGCACTTGCTGAATGCAAACTTAGAAAACACGCGAGCACAGAAGGTCTGGTACACTGTACGGCTGCTAGATGAGAAGCAATGATGGACTAACTGCAGTGCACACACACCTCTTCCGGACGGCGGTTCCCAACTCACCAACCAAATCACGATGCGGCCCCACATCCTTGGCATTCCAGTTCCAAGACACCGAACTCGGCCAGTTTGTGAAGCCTTCGTGATGCTTTGTCGTCAGGACTACATACCTGCGGACATCAAAACCACATGAGCAAAGAAAGTGGGCAGTGGGCCATGAGCATGAACTTACCCAGCAGGACTGCGGCTGAGGAAATGGTAGGGAGAACTGGCTGTTTGAATGTGGAGCGGAGATACAGCGACCACCAACTGTAAATGTGTCTCAAGACCAAAAAACAAAGCAGGCAACTCCACAGAATAGAACAGATTATTATGACAGGGTAATTTAGTTACAGGGATGGAGGGTCAGGGTGGATAGACAACCCTGGTAGTTCTGTGCAGCTCATTCTCCACTGCTTTACAGTTATTACAGTGAATGCTTTTAGTACAGCTGATTTACTAATGACTGACAAGGCACAGGGCCTAAGAATGCCTTATGAGCCAGGAACCCTCCCTCCTAGTGGTCTTATGATGGAAAATTGCTTAGAATTGACACCGACACCTAGTTTGACATGGGTCTCTGCTGCTGTACCATTCTGGCCACTTACTGACAAGAATCTTTATGATTACATTGTATAGGCTTACAGAACAGTAGTCATCTATATATATAAGAGCCTAAGCGACAACCGGATGACTGACTGGTAGCTATGATGCACACTGACCACCAGGGGGCAGACGCTCAACACAGGAGCTGCCCCCTGGTGGTCAGTGCACTCCCACAGCCAACCTCCCCCGGCTGGCCAACCCCCCATGGCCCCTCCCCCATCAGGACTGGACAAGACCCCTCTGATCGGCTGGGAGGGACCCCACCCACACATGAATTCGTGCACTGGGCCTCTAGTTAACTATAAGACAGAGAATGCTAGCCAGGAACAGTTAGCTTGGTCAAAGTTAAAGCTTGAATAGAGAGAGTGGAGGGCTTACAAAGATGGAGTCGGTTTGTTCACGTCATTAGCCACTCGCCTACAGGAAACATACTTGTGAGTTGCTGCAGCCACAGCTCCCCAGGGCTATTGCTCCAGGAATGGAAGCAAACTTGAGGAAACCACAGTCCTTAGTCTCCTGCCAAGCAGGGGCCCAGAGGGAAAAGATGTGCACCTTAGCTCTCATTCTTCAACCCTTCAAGGAATTAATGATAAGCTTTTCTTAACCTTTGCTCTAAAGAAGAAAGAAATCTCTACTAGAAATAACAGATGACAAAAAAGCAAGCTATTTGTTTTACCAAGCCCACATGAATTGCCTCTCATTTATAGAAATGACAAAAGTCCAAAAGAGCAGGGGAGAAAAGACAAGTGTTGAAATAACCACCAAATCACTCAACATTTCATTTGCTTTCATGGCGGAAAAAACGAGATAATTTAACCACTGGCTGGTGTGGGGAGCTCCAAGACTTAAAGGACCAGATAGTATTTCAGGCTGGGAGGGCAATAACCCTTTTAAAATGTAAAAATCATTCTCATCTCATGGTACTTACAAAAACAGGCAGAGGACCAATCCCTCTGGCCAAGGTAAGCAGACCTTGGAGCCGTGAGATTTGGAGTCTAGGACCGTGGTCGGCAAACTGCGGCTCACGAGCCACAGGCGGCTCTTTGGCCCCTTGAGTGTGGCTCTTCCTAAGCCTTAGGAGTACCCTAATTAAGTTAATAACAATGTACCTACCTATATAGTTTAAGTTTAAAAAATTTGGCTCTCAAAAGAAATTTCAACCGTTGTACTGTTGATACTTGGCTCTGTTGACTAATGAGTTTGCCGACCACTGGTCTTGGACATCAGTTCCCTTCCTCTATCTGGGCTAGTCACCTGGTCCATGAAATAAGGGGTCTCGACAAAGGATGTTTCCAAGATTTTAATTTTTTTTTCATTTTTAACTTATGGATCTCTATGGCTCCTAGAAGACATAGAACACCTCCTCTGTTTATTCCAGTCTTATTATATCCCCATACATTTAATGGCAAACACTAAACGTTCAGTTGTAATTTATTAGTATAAGGTACTATTTTTTTTATTGATTTGAAAGAGAGAAACATGGATTTGTTGTTCCACCCATTCATGCATTCACTGGTTGGTTCTTGAATGTGCCCGGATGGGGAATCCAACCCCCCACCTTGGCATACCAAGACGACACTCTTACCAAATGAGCCACCCGGCCAGGGCAGGACAAGGGATCTTAAAGTCTCAGCGAAACTAAAACCTGGAAGATGAATTAAGAGACGACGGTAGAGGACTGCTCTAAGCCAGGAGCCAGGAAACCTCCCCGTCTCCATTCTTAGTTTCCTCCAACCCCCGTCACTCCCAGCAGTCACTACCCTACTAATCCTGAGGGTAACCACTCCCTGACTGGACACCTGGCCACGTACTGCCCTAAGGATTACTGCTTCAGGACTGGCCCCAGCCTTCCACAGCGCCCTGGGTCCCTGCCTCTCTCTTCCCCATCCCAGCAAGCTACACTTTCGGTTCTCCCCACCATCCACACGCAAGCTCCAACAGCTCTCACGACAATGCACGCACTTCTTGAGCACTTTAATGTGCAAAGCACCGAGGAGAGCAGATGAATGAGAATCTGTACTGTTGCCCAAACACAGTGCACACCAGAACGCCCCTTCCTTCCCCTCCCGGAGATCGTAAAGCTGAAAGGAACCAATACAATCCCTTTCCATAGGCATGGACTTTGGAGGCTGCAGGGAGGTGAAATGCCTTGGTCAAGTTCACAGTTGAACTAGGACCAGACTCCATGCCACGGGCTTACAATCCTGGAGTCCCGATTTTGTCAACCTGGAATGGACGATGAGATATCACGCAGTTCCATCCACTGAGGGCTTTCCCACCCACCACCTCCTTGAAACTTGTATTTCCTCCTAATTCCCAACCGGGCGCACCCTCCCCTTATGATCAGGCATGTCACGTTCAATTCTGCATCCTTCCGGGGACACAACTCATGACCCGGGGTATCTTAAGTCAGGCAGATGGCTGTGTGACCCGGGGCGAGTCGCCTAACCTCCCCCCGCTCGGTTCCCACCAGCCTAACCCCCGCACACTGCTCCGACCCGGGAGGAGGTGCGCCGCCCGCACCCGCGGCCACACTCACTTGGCCCCGGCGGCCTGGAAGAGGTCGGCCCAGCCCTCCGGGAGGAAGAAGCGCGCCGTGAACAGCGGCCCGAAGTCGGCGTAGCTGAAGCCGGGTGGGTAGTTGTCGCTCATGAAGCGCTGGTACTGCGGCGACCCCTCGCCCTTCCAGTGCCACCAGAACCACTCGCTGCCCCAGGCCGGCACCGAGAACACGCCCCAGTGCACGAACACCCCGAACTTGGCCTGGTCGAACCAGTCCGGCAGGGGCCGGGAGTCCAGACTCGGCCAGTCCGGGGTGTAGCGGCGCTGAGCCCCGAGCGCCCACTCGGCCGCTCCGAGAACCAGCAGCAGCCGCGGCAGCAGCGGCAGCCGGGCTCCCACCGCCCACGACTTCATCTCGGGCGACCACACTCCGACTCTCCGCCTCCGCCTCCACCATCCCCTCTCACCGCGCAGCTGCGGCGCGAGGCCCCGCCCACTCTGACTAATGATTGGCTCAGTAGGAAAGAGGGGCGGGTCAGCCCTGGCGGCTTGACTACCGAGTCTCTTCCCCTCTTAGTCCACCAGCCCTGTTGCGCCCTCTAGCGCTGAAAGGGAGAAAGACGCAAGGAGGCGTTGACAGCGCTCGGCTGGTGGTCTAATGAACACTTCCGAAGACTTCATGGCGGGGTTCAGTCGTGGGAGTGATTCAACCGTGGGGTTGTAGAAGGCCGGGTGTGTACGGAGAACTGGGTGTAGTGCATTTGGCCGTGGGGAGTCAGAAGGGACTTTCTGAGCCGTAGTACAGAAGAGCAAGCCTGGAGGCGGGAATACCAGATGCAAGGGCATTGTTACAGTCCTGGTAGCAATAACGAAGTAAAATAATGCTGGTAGAAGCATTGTGAGGAGGGAGAACAGTGGGTGCTGAAAGGGGAAGAGCAGGGGTGAGCATTTGGCCTATCTAATACTTGCTTTGGGAATTCTGAAGCCATTCAAAGAACTTAACATCTAATTGGAAAAATGAGACCCATGGACATACAAACACCACAAAGGAACGTTTTTAGAGTAGTAGGGTAAGAACATTAAGAGCCCCGAGTCCTACAGCATAAGGAATATAGTAATAAATATTGTAATAACTATGTATGGTCCCAGGTGGGTACTAGAATTATCAGGTGGAATCACTTCATACATGATATAACCAAATTATATCTGGGCGAGTCAAGCCATCTGCCTGACTTAAGATACCCCGGGTCATGAGTTTTGTCCCCGGACTCAGCCAATTGTTTCTTGCACGAGACACCACCTAACCACTATACTATACTCCTGAAACTAATATAAAATTATATTGAATGCCAACTGTAATTTTAAAACAAAATAAAAAGAGTCCCAGGCCCTAGGAGTACCTGTGTGAACGTTGTCTGGCAGGGAGGTCACCAAGTCCTCTACAACCTGCATGTGCTGTGCATGCTGAGACAGGAGGTGAGGCCATCAGGTGTGGAAAGTACAATGACCCTAAGTGGCACCGCCAGTCCCTATGTATCAGTGAGAGAACTGCAGCAGGGAATTTGGGATCCTCTACACAACCCCCTTTCCTACTCTCTCCATTTGAGGGAGGAGAAAACTGAGACCCAGAGAGAGGATAGAAGTTGATCAAGATGATGCAGCTAGTTGAGCTCAGAGGTGGGACCAGAACCCAGGTCTCCAGATGTGGAATTTGTGCCTCTCCACATGCTGCTTCTCTCTTGCACCCCGGAAGGGGACAGCGCCTGTGTTGACAGAACCAAGCACTTCCTCATCCTAGGAGTTGTAAGGAAATACAAAGGCAATTGCTGAATAAACAGCTATTCTAATCTGCAAGGTAAGGCTAAAATATTGTCCAAAACAGTAAGCACAGACACCTTAAAAAAACAAAACCAAGCCCATCTTCACACACTTTCTAATGATCAGAGTAATGGTCTTTGATGTTATAGAACTCATCTTGGGGAAGACGAAATGGGACATTGTGACCTTCATTTCTCCTTAACCTTGTGAAAATTAATAAGCAGAACCCTCTTTTAAAATGGAGTCAGGAGGCTAGAAGAGAGAACTCTCGCTCACATGCCACTCAATGCATACTATTAACCCCAATGGGACAGACATATCTTGCATCTACAATAGGAAGTGATAACTACCTGAGCACAAGAAAGAAAAGATTCCTCCTTGCCCTGTAACAGCTCAGCCAATGGGAGCTTGCCATAACTCAGCCAATGAAAAATCTCCATACTTCAAACTTTTAGTTTCCTCCAATGGACTCTTCATTTACAACAGCCCCTCGGAAGTCCATCAAAGAGCAGTCCTCTCCTTTGTTTCTCTGGATTTGAGCATGGCTTACCATTAGACTGCAGGTCCTGAGTTGCAATTCTTTATTGTTCCTGAATAAACCCATTTTGCTGGAGAAATATCGGACTGTCCATTTGTTAAAGGTCAACATCCTCATAACCAAAATGCAAATTTGCAGGAGCAGGTGAGAGACACTGTGATAGACTGGACAATATTAGAAGTTGGGAAGCTGGGTTTCTTGCACGAGACACCACCTAATGGGGTCTCCTTGGGCAAGTCTCGTCCACAGCCTGGGCCCATTTCCTCCTCTAAACAGTGGGGGCAGTTCTCAGTGATATCCAGGTGCCTTATCCCCTTGCTCTCCTCCTTCATAAACTCCAGATCTTTACTTAAAGCTGAAATAGGAGATTGTGAAAGGAGAGAGGTAGAAAGTCTGGAAGTGCATTTAATTCCATGACTTTTAAGCTCTATATTTATTACAGAAATATTTACTGAATATCAATTTATGCCAGGCACTTGGGCATTGTCTTTGCTAACATGAGAAAAGAAAGGCATGCCCCAACTTTAAGGAATCACAAATTTACCTTTAAAAAATTATGCCATTTCAACTGGGTTCAATAGTGTCCCCCAGAACTTCATGTCTACCCAGAACCTGTGAGTGTTGCCTTACTTGGAAATAGAGTCTTTATAGTTGTAACTTGTTAAATTCAGATGAAATCATACTGGATTAAGAGTGTGCCTTAATCCAATGATTGGTGTCCTTAAAAGATGACACCAAGAGACAGAGGGGTTGGGGAGGCTACATGAATACACAGGCAGGGGTGGGAGTTATGTTGCCACAAACCAAGGAACACCAGAAGCTGCCAGAAGTCGGACGAGGCAAGAAAGGACCTTCTGCTTGAACCTCTGAAGGGAGCATGGCCCTGCCAACACCTTGATTTTGGACTTCCAGCCTCCAGAACTGTGGAAGAATACATTTCTGTTGTTTTAAGGCACTTAATCTATGGAAAAATGTTACCGGAAACTAACACAGGGCATAAAAAGAAGTACATTGAGGAATAATGAGATTTAAGGTTGTAGCAATCTGTACTTCTAATGAAGCTGAGTTTGACTGAACTAGGTCAAGAGGGCAGGCTTTGGAGTCAAAGAGAACGGGTTTGGAAACCCCAGCTCTGGGTACGTATTAGCGGTGTGGCCTCAGGCGACTGATTTTGCCTCTTAGAAGTTTCCTCATGTGTAAAATGAGGATACCAAATCCTCATCAGGTTACTGTGAAGCTAAATGAAATACCTCATTTAAAAGTACTTATCCCCCCGCCCCAAATAAAAGAGAAAAGTACTTAGCCCAGGCCTGGCCTGTGTTTCACAGTGGTTAGAGCACCAGCCTGTGCACCAAAGGGTTGAGGGTTTGATTCCCAGTCAAGGGCACGTACCTCGGTTGCAGGTTTGATGCCTGGCCCCAGTTGGGGCACATGCAGGAGGCAACCTATTGATGTGTCTCTCTCACATTGATGTTTCTCTCTCTCTCCCTCCCTCCCTCCTTTCCACTGTCCCTAAAAAATCAAAGGAAAAAATATCCTCAGGTAAGGATTAACTAACTAACTAATAAATAAATAAATAATTTTTTAAAAAAGTACTTAGCCCAGTGCCTGGCCCACAGTAAAGACTCACTACAAGTCAGCCAGCATTTATGACCAGAGCACCTAGTACAGTGATGACAAACCTATGACACGCGTGTCAGAGGTGACACGCGAACTCATTTTTTTGGTTGATTTTTCTTTATTAAATGGCATTTAAATATATAAAATAAATATCAAAAATATAAGTCTTTGTTTTACTATGGTTGCAAATATCAAAAAATTTCTATATGTGACACGGCACCAGAGTTAAGTTAGGGTTTTTCAAAATGCTGACACGCCGAGCTCAAAAGGTTCACCATCACTGACCTAGTAAGTCTACCCTACCTAGAGTTGCCTCAATTAATCCTTATCACATGACCCTAACAATCCTTGATTTCTTTCATTGTACTGCCCATGTTGGTCTTCTTTATTTATTTATTCTCTCCGCACCAGAATGGAGAATGTAAGCCCCATTAGACAGTGGCAGAGTCTCATTTATGGGTGGACATCCAGGCCTTAGCACAGACCCTGGCCTGTATTATGAGATGGGTGAATGAGTGAATGAATAGTGGACACCTTGTCTTATAAATTATTCAATGAAGACATGTTTAATCACCTTCGTCCATTTATTCTGTCTTTAATCCTAAAGACCTGCATTAGAATTCCTTGCAATCCTCCTGCCACCAGCATTTCTCTTGCCTTCTATTTTAAGCCCCTCTGCTAGGAGCTCAGACGGCCTGAGATGTAAAATATGGTGTCCTGGTCTCTTCAAAAGCTTGGGCTGTATTCTCGCTGCAGATAATGGACTGTGGGATGTCCACCCTGTGCCTAACATGTAGTAAAGAAATGTCCCCTTCCTACTACTGGCTCTGTTTATTATTTGTCATAGGGGTATGGAGGAGATAAAACGGCCTGAACTAAGAATGAGTGAGAACAATTTGGGGATTTATAAAATCTTTGTGACTAACTTCCTTTTTCTTGGAGTTGGGTTAGACTGGGACACTGCCTGCTTCCAGTGGTGCCACCAAGTAGGACTTCACAGGGTCAACAAAATTCTCTGAAGAGTCTGTGTCTCAAGTGACCCCAGCCTCCGTATTCCCCAGAGACCTAAGAGGTCACCGCGGCTGTGAGTGGGGATCGTCAGGAGTCAAAGAGGACCATTGCCTTCATAACAAGATGCCCGTAACTGGAGGGTTGCCAGCTACCTCTGAAAGAGGTGGGATCCACACCCACAATCCTCATTGAGTCATAGTTCTTGGTCTTTAGTGGGATAGGGTAACCTAAAAAGGTCCTCAATGGGAAAGGGTGACTTAGAACCAAGAAGGCCCCAACAATTAAGTGGAGCCGGCAGGAGGACAGGATCAGGTAGAGCTCAGCCAGGTTCTCCAGGGCGCTTAGCAGGCCCAGGGGGGTGCACAACACGGCAACAGCTATCTTTTGCTGACTGCTCAGAATCATGTAATCCTTCATGGGGTTGAAATCCAAGCCATCCTGGGAGCCGTTGGCTGCCTTCATCACCGAGCATCTCTCCATGGAGTGAGTCCTTTGGGTTCTGCTGGGCTTACCAAGAAGTCTTTGCTGTAGACACTGAGAAGAAATGAGTCTTTTCCAATCAACACAGTAATGACCTCACACAATCTCTGACTCCAGCCAAACCTTTTGGGCTGGCCAAACATCCACCCATACCCTGAGATCCCAGGAGAAGAATCTGTTCTTCTCAAATTTCCTCTGAGCCCCTCATTGCTGAGCCTGAAGGTTCCCTCTGGCTCCGTGGTCTCTGGAGAATGCAGGCACTAAGCCATCTTGTTGAGGAGGTTTTCCTGACCTGACATGCGCTGAGCCTGTCCAAGATGTCTTGCCTCCTGCTCACGTTACCACTCCCAACAGGGCCCAGCTGTGCAGATAAGCAGGACCAGGCACTCTCCGGGGATGCCAACTCTCATCAGCAAAAAAGGGTAGGTGTCAAGGCCTCTGGGGCTGGTTCAAGTAAGATGAGAGGGTCAAGACTGCTCTCTCTCCTCCAGGAAGTGAAATGATTTCTGACTTGCTTTGTTCAAAACTCTGAACAAAGAGACCGCATCAGCAGTCAGAGCAGTATAGACCTCAGGAATCTGCCCACTGGGTGACTCTCCCATCAGCCTCTGTCTCGCTGACTGAGGACCTCGGGACGTCTTCTTTTCCTTCAGGCCCGAGGCCTCTCAGGTGCTTCCGACAGCAGGCCAGGCAGCGGTGGGCAGAGGCGCGGATCTCCCCACTCCGCAGGGCATAGATGATGGGGTTGACCATGGAGTTGACAAGGCAGAGCAAGGAGCAAAAGGCAAAGACCTTCTTGACCTGGTCACTCAGAGGGGTGGCCAGGCTATAGGCCATGAGGGCTAGTGCCGGGAACCAGCATATGAAGAGAACAGCCAGCACCACCCCCAGGGTCTTGGCCAACCTCACATCCAGCCTCATCCGGGTCATTCCTGGCACCTGCCCATCCTGGTGCTCAGCCAGGCTGGCTGCATGCTGATGGGCCTTCCAGAGGACGTGCCCGTAGGTGTAGATGATGCCAGAGAAGAGGAAGGTGATGAACAGGAGCCAGCCCAGCAGATAGTTATTGGGGATCAGAGGGAAAAGCTCAGAGCAGGGACTGGGACAGCAAGTCCATCCCATGAGGGGCAGGTAGGAGACCAACGCTGAGATGACCCACATGATGCCCAGGGTCACCAGTGCCTTCCCACGGGTGAGTAGGGCTTTGTATGTAGGTGGGTAGCGCAGACAGAGGTAGCGGTCGATGGCGGTCAGCAGCAGGCTGCCTACAGAGGCTGTGAAGGTCAAGGTCACGCTGCCAATCTTCAGCAGAAAGACAGGCTTGGAATCCACGCCCTGAAAGACGTGGAAATTTACAAAGTTGCAAGCAAAGACTACACTGGCCAGGAAGTCAGCGGCAGCCAGGCTGCTAATGAACAGGTATGAGGGCTTCCTGCGGAGCCGGCGGGAGGACAGGATCAGGTAGAGCACAGCCAGGTTCTCCAGGGCGCTTAGCAGGCCCAGTGGGGTGCACAACACGGCAACAGCTATCTTTTGCTGACTGCTCAGAATCATGTAATCCTTCATGGGGTTGAAATCCAAGCCATCCTGGGAGCCGTTGGCTGCCTTCATCACCGAGCATCTCTCCATGGAGTGAGTCCTTTGGGTTCTGCTGGGCTTACCAAGAAGTCTTTGCTGTAGACACTGAGAAGAAATGAGTCTTTTTCAGTCAACACAGTAATGACCTCATACAATCTCTGACTCCAGCCAAACCTTTTATCTGTGCAGATGAACATGTTGAAATAGCAATCTATATTTTGTTCCTCTCTACTTTGCCTCTTCTCCATTCTAGTGGGGTACAGGTCTTAGGGAGAGGTATGTAGAAATTCAAGAAGCAGAAGTGGCCTGCAAGCTTTTTGGCCTTTTGTTTTCAAAAAGACTAATCCTAAGACTTCCCTTTGAAAGTAAGGTAAATCTCCCATCCTCAAAAATCAAGAGGAAGCCGAAACTGGTTTGGCTCAGTGGATAGAGCGTCGGCCTGCGGACTGAAAGGTCCCAGGTTTGATTCCGGCCAAGGGCATGTACCTGGGTTGCGGGCACATCCCCAGTAGGAGATGTGCAGGAGGCAGCTGATCGATGTTTCTCTCTCATCGATGTTTCTAACTCTATATCTCTCCCTTCCTCTCTGTAAAAAATCAATAAAATATATTTTTTTAAAAAAGTGGAGAAAAAATCAAGAGGAAATCAAAACCAAGAAAAATGGAATCCAGAGTGATCAGGTGGAGAGGTTTTTTGCCTTAGTGTTTTTGGGGTTTTTTTTTGCAAGTTTTGGTAAGTAAGATGCTGAAGTTTAAACAACTATTTAGGAATGGGAGGCAAGACTATGGCTTCATACCAGTAGGTTGCCAGATGAAATATAGGAGTCCAGATAAATCTGAATGTCAGGGAGTAAAACATTTTTTTAGTATAAGCATATCCTAAATATTCAGAAAAAAACCACCCAAATATCATATGGGACATTATTGGAAATAATCAGAAAACAAACTCAAAATTTCTCTAGAGGGATATGCTTTCTATTTAGGTCACACAAGATTCCCACATATAAAGGCCCATGGAATTTGAGCTCATAATGCAAAATTACAAAGTGCATAAGGAAACATGAATACGAGTTAGCAGAAGTATCAGACAGTAGATTCAGACTTCCAGGCACTTCATATAATTCTTGGGTATACATTATAAAAATGTTTAATATCATTAAACAATACGGAATCAAAAACATGACTACATAATGAGTGACTGGGCAGATTTAAAAAGGATCAAGCAGAATTTTGGAAGTGAAAAATAAAGCATTGAAAAAAGAAACCTTTAAGGGCAGGTTAAAGCGCACAAATGACTTGTTGAACAGCGTGGATCTAGAACAGTGATGGCGAACCTTTTGAGCTCGGCGTGTCAGCATTTTGAAAAACCCTAACTTAACTCTGGTGCTGTGTCACATATAGAAATTTTTTGATATTTGCAACCATAGTAAAACAAAGACTTATATTTTTGATATTTATTTTATATATTTAAATGCCATTTAACAAAGAAAAATCAACCAAAAAAATGAGTTCGCGTGTCACCTCTGACACGCGTGTCATAGGTTCACCATCACTGATCTAGAAGGTAGATCTGAAGAAATTTCTCAGAATGCAGCACAAGGAGATAAAGAGATGGAAAACATGAAAGAGAGCTTAAGAGACATGGAGGATTGAATGAAAAGGTTTAAATATATCTAGTTGAAGTTTCAAAAGGGAAGAATAGAATTGATGGTGGGCACTGGGGAGGCAGTATGCAAAGATGATAGTGGAGAGTTGTCCAGAATTCTCCTGGACATGACTTTCAGATTCAGCAATCACAGGGAACTCCAAACAGAATTTAAAAAACAGCCCTAACCGGTTTGGCTCAGTGGATAGAGCGTCGGCCTGTGGACTGAAGGGTCCCAGGTTTGATTCCGGTCAAGGGCATGTACCTTGGTTGTGGGTACATCCCCAGTAGGAGATGTGCAGGAGGCAGCTGATCGATGTTTCTCTTTCATCAATGTTTCTAACTCTCTATCCCTCTCCCTTACTCTCTGTAAAAAATCAATAAAATATATTTTAAAACAAACAAACAAAAAAACAAACTAATTCCACATTCACATATCTATACTAATAAAAGGGTAATATGCTAATTAGACAGGGAGACCTTCCAGGAGACCTTCCAGACGTCCTTCTGGACAAAGCCATGGTGGCGGGGCCAAGGCAGAGGTGGTTAGGGGCAATCAGGCCAGGAGGGGAGGGCAGTTGGGGGTGAGCAGGCTGGCAAGGGGGGTCAGTTGGGGGCAAGCAGGCCAGCAGGGGGGGCAGTTGGGAGTGAGCAGGCCAGCAGGCAGGTAAGTGGTTAGGAGCCAGTGGTCCCAGATTGCAAGAGGGATGTCCCAGATTGGAGACAGTGCAGGCCAGGCTAAGGGACCCCTCCCATGCACGAATTTCATGCACCAGGCCACTAGTCTATATATATAAAGGCCTAAGTGACCTTTCAATCATTCGACCGGTAGCTATGACACACACTGACCACCAGGGGGCAGATGCTCAACACACAGGCATGGAAACATGGAACTGACTGATGAATCTCAGAGGGAAGGGGAAGTGGGGAGGGCAGGAAGAGATTAACCAAAAATCTTATATGCATGTGCACTGGTGGAGTCCCTCAGCCTGGCCTGTGGGAATCATGCTGAAACTGGCAGTCCGACATCCCCCAAGGAATTCCTGATTGTGAGAGGCTGCAGGCCAGGCTCAGGGACCCCACCAGTGCACGAATCCATGCACTGGGCCTCTAGTATCATAATAAAACTCCAGAACATCAAAAAAAAAGAGAAAAAATTAAAAGCAACCAGAAAGAAAAGATATGATACCTGCAAAGGAATCATAATTCAATTTAAAAGCAGATTCCCCAAGGGCAACGATAGTAACCAGAAGATAAAGGGAAAGAAGCTAAACTATCACTCAAAATAAAGAAATACAAATAGAATTGTCCTTAACAGACCTTTGCTGAAGGAACATCTAAAGGATATGCCATCAGAAGAAAGAAATTCTTCGTAGAGGGAAGAACAGAAAGGCAAGAAGAAGTTGCGAATAAGTTGATAAACGTATAAGTAAATTTAAAAATGTCTGTATAAAGCCATAGTAATAATAATAATGACTGATTTGGAGGGTATAAAACAAAGTGGAAGTAAAATTGTGAATGACAGTAACACAAGACAAGAGAGATGAATAGAGTTGAAACTTTATTTAGGAAATGAATCAAGGAATTGATCTAATTTAGGCTTTTCAAAATCAGTCATTATTTCTTGTCTGGTTTACTGCAATATTAACTGGGTTCCCTGCTTTTACCAAGACCCATCTTTAGTCTAATTTCAACACAACATCCAAAGTGATCCTTTAAAAATATGTCAGATCATCCCACTGTCCCAACCCTGCGTAGGTCCCATTCCATTCAGTGTAAAATCCAAACTACTTACAATGGCCTAGAAGGTTTTATGTGTTCTGGACTCGTTTCCTCTCTGACCTCCCTACTACCATGCTTCCCTTGGTCAACCAGCTTTAGCCACAGTGGCTTCCTGATGTCCAACCTCCTACCACAGAGCCTTTTCACTGGCTGTCCCTCTGCCTGAACACCTTCCCTAGACATATGCTTGACTCAGTCTTTCACCTTCTTCAAGTTTTGGCTCAAATTTTGCCTTTTCTATCTACCCTACCACACTACTGCTCTTCTTGTCCCCCTC